CCTGAGCATGCATGGAAATTGGAAGAGCAAGCTACCAGGCAATGCAAGGAGGAAATAACTTAACATCTCCATCCTAGCCCTCCCTGTGAAAACAGAGAAAGCAATTAGTATCTTACAATTTACAAAATATGAACACAATAAAATTGGGTTAAGAATAAAATAAAATGCATGTGGCCTACATATCAAAGTTGTCAATATTGTACCAGCATATGTACCGGTTTTGCCATTGGAATAGTACGTATCGGATATCGAAATTTTTCGTGTATCGTTTCGGATTTATGCTATAAATATATATATTTTTATAAATTAAATATCAAAATTTAAAATACTGATAATATAAACTAATGTTTAAAATTGTCATATTTCTATAAATTGAAAATATGTTTAAAATGGCCAACTTTATAAAACATCTATAATTTTTTTCTTTTTTTTTGAACATTAAGATAATATTAGAAAGTATAATAGTGTTTTGAATTTAATATTATACAATTTGCGATACAAAATATTTCCACAAAGAAAGAAATCATGTCTTCTAAGTATAACAAGAATGCAAAAGACGAACCAAAACATTACTGAGAAAAAAAAGTAGCAACCGGTGAGTATTGAGAACTAGAAATCTAAATTTGAAATTGTCAAAAGGGACTAAAAATACACATTTTTAATCCTTCAACTTCTAACATATGCATACTTTTCATCCCTCCACTTTAAGTTAAAGGATTAAAAATCTGTATATTTAGACAAACTCAACGAAGTAGCAGATAGAAAGATTAAAAAATACATTTTTCATAGTTGATGGTTTAAAAAAGTAGATAAAAAAGTTAAAGGATGAAAATTATGCAAAACATTAAAATTGAGGACAAAAATGAAATTTATCTTTTTTAAATATAAATTGATTTGTATCGGCAAATTTTTAGTGTATTGGCCGGTACGTCGAAATACCGGTCAATACACTAAAATTTGATTGAAATAGATGAAATTTGATCAAAATGAAATTAAAACATACATTTTAATTTATTGAAAAAATCGATACGTACCAACCGTACCATTCGATATGGTATGGTATTAATAACATTGCTACATATATAATGCAAGGCATAAACAAATTATAATCAAAGTGTCTCTTAAAAATGATGTTTATTAAGTGATGTGCTCCTAATTAACCAACAATAGCTTAGTTTCATTGGTATCTACTAAGTTAAAGCCTTAACTTATGGGATTAACTTATGGGATTAAAGTTGGTTGGGTTTAAACCTTGAACCTGGTAAGCAAAAAATAAATAAACACGCTAATTGTAGTGTACCTGAGAAAAATTAAAATGAAAAGCTACAACCTTAACTTTATAAAATAAGCAACAACACTTCTCGAAATGGATTACTATATATATTATGATAGAACTTCAAGAGTATTTGTGCACCAATTACGTACCTGGCTTTTCTATAACAAGCTAGCTTTCTTCTCCCAAAGTAATCAAGACCTTAGAAAGGACTTGATTAGTCCAGTAAATGCGACTGCCTCTGCTGCCGCCAAATTGGCAACATGTTTGTAAGCACGCCCTAGCAAAGTTGTTGCACAAAACATTGGCCACATGTTTGGAGCAAGGAGAATGCCAATAACGGCACTCTTCTTTTCTTGTGAGGAAAAATAATAGCATCATTTTGTTTTTTAACTTAAGGAATTTTTGAGGATGAAGACTAGTGCCTGGCTATTGAATTCAAGACTTCACGTCCTATCACTTTTTTCATTGAGGTAGTGTTGTTAGGCACCTAGTGCTGGACAACAATAGCATCAATTAGTACATGGTACACTACTGATTCACATACATTAGGACTAGACTTCTTCTTATGGAACTTTTAATGCTACGTGATCTCAACTTTTATTATTTTATTCAACCACTTGGGATAGACTCCTCGAGAGTTTTACAAAAAAAAAAAAAAAAGGGGCTCCAATAGGGTACAAGTCCAAAGTTGTCAATATCATATCAACATATGTATCGGTTTTGCTACTGAAATGATACGTATTGGATATCAAAATTTTTTACGTACCATTTCGAATTTATCGCTATAAAAAGATTTTGTGAAGAAGTTCAAGAAAGGACTCAATCAAAGAAATTAAAAAGTTAATAATGAAATCTACAAAAACAAACCCACAAATCTAGCCCAAACCCCAATATGGAGCCCACCAACAATTTAATTCAAGCCTCAACTCAATTTCATAAACTAGCCCATCAAAACCCAAATTTAACAATAAAAGAAAACCCTAGTTTCCTCTCTTTTTTAAAGGGGGAAGGAGGAGGGGGCGGCAGACAAAACAAAAAAAAAGAAAAAGAAAAAAAGAGGAGATAAGCCTCTTGACTTTTCTCCCTTCTATAGATCCATGACCGCCACCATCACCTCCGTTCTTTCACCTCTGATCTTCACCATCCTTTTGCTGATCATCACCCTCACCAATCACCAAGCAGCCAAAAAAAAAAAAAAAAGATTATGCAAATCTAACCGCAAGCTCCCTTGGGGAGTCCAATCTTGACAATCTTCTTACATCTCATTATCATCACAGCCTCCGCCTTTATCACCAATAATCACCAAAGTAGAGGGGTTCGACAGGGACTAGAAAAGGGGAGGATCTTTCTTCTCCAAAAAAAAAAAAATCTTAAGTATTCATGAACATTGCCGACACATCGAAATACCAATTGGTACATCAAAATTTGATTGAAATGGTCAAAATTTGACAGAAATGAAATTGAATCTTGTACTATTTTGATTTAATGAAAAAATCAGTACGTACCAACCATACTGGCCGGTACGAAATGAAATAAACAACATTGGGCAAGTCTCAAAGTTAGTAGTAGTAGTTCAACATGGGAAATCAGTCGGGCCTTGTAGGACTAGAAATGATGTTCGACGAAATGTTTAAGAGATAGCTGTTGTTTCTCGAACACTTTCGTCCATCTTCACATTATGTCATTATTGTGTCTCGATCACAAGATCAAATAAAATAATAATTAATGAATTTATTAAAAAATATAAAAAAAATATCATCAAAATAGACGTGAAAAGTTTACTTACTTTAAGGTAATTCATGTCTTTACGGAGTATAAATTGATCGGTGTAGCAAATATATATAGCATGTCACCTGCAAGATGTTTCGTCACAACAACAAAAAAATAATAATAATTAATGTTTTTATTAAAAAATATAAAAAAAATATCATCAAAATAGACGTGAAAAGTTTACTTACTTTAAGGTAATTCATGTCTCTGTGGAGAGTAGATTAACCAGTGCAACAGAAATATATATAGCATATCACCCCCAGAATACTACAGCTTTATAATAACCCTTATGAATCTGCATGATCCATAAAATCACTTAACTCAAAACATCATTCTTGCCCAAGAATATTTAAAAGATAGAATAAGATAAGAAAAATAAGAGAATGTAGATGAACTCTCTTTTTAAGCAAAAAGATATATTTTATTCATAGGATTCATAGTCATATAACTCCTATTTATAGGTTAATTATATGAATAAATTGAGCAATTACTATATAATAATGTGCCCTTAAATAAGGTAATTAATCTACAATGATTAGTTTGATTAAATCTTTAATGAGATAATAAATTCAATTTATAAAATATATTATTTTATTTTTTATTAAAATATTTAAGTTATAACAAAAATTGCATGAAGAACGTGTTGATTCAATCAAAGACGAGTTTTCCTTAACCCTATGTCTAGTTGTTACTGCCCCAAGTGAGCAGAAATAGTTGAAGATGGGAAATCATTCGTGCCCTGTGGGACTAGAAACGATGTTCGACGAAATGTCTAAGAGAAAGTACTGCCACGACTTTGGCAAAAACCAATATTTAGCCCTTCACCCTATAACATGATAGTTTTAGTCGTTTATCTTACAAAGTTGGGAAGTTTTAGCTCATTACCTTACAAAGTTGATAGGTTTTAACCTCTTACTTTATATTATGATATTTTTAGCCTCTTACCAATACAAATTAAAGAAAATAGCCTTCAGCTAACATCAGGTTATAATATTCTGTTAATTTTGTTAGTTGACTGTTAACATCCATTAGTATTTCGTTATAAAAACATGAAATTTAAATTCAATTTTATTTGTTAATTCCATTAATGGAATGCTAACGAATGCTAACAATCAACTAACAGAACTAACAGAACTAATATAACATTATAACATGATATTAAATAAAGGCTATTTTCTTCAATTCATACAGATAAGGGGTTAAAAGTGTCATAATATAAAGTGATGGGCTAAAACCTACCAACTTTGTAAGGTGAAAAGTTAAAACCTATCAATTTTGTAAAGTAAAAGGTAAAAAATATCATATTATAAGGTTAGAGGTTAAAATCTAACAATTTTGTAAGGTGAGGGGCTAAAAATTAGTTTTAACCCACGACTTTGGCCTTTAGGTCAATA